GGTGGTGATGGTGATGGTGGTGATGGTGGTGGTGGTGATGGTGGTGATGGTGGTGATGGTGATGATGATGGTGATGGTGGTGATGATGGTGATGGTGGTGATGGTGGTGATGGTGGTGATGGTGGTGATGGTGGTGGTGGTGATGGTGGTGATGGTGGTGGTGGTGATGGTGGTGATGGTGATGGTGGTGGTGGTGGTGATGGTGATGATAATGGTGAGGACTGGGGACTCTCTGGACCTTGTGGGTGAGCCAGAGAATGAGCAGGTGAGGTCCGGGTCTTGCGGATCTGGTCACAGGTAACAGCTTTAGTGACGGTCTAAAGGCCATGTTCCTGTGTGCTCAGGGCACGGCTAGGAGCATCAGGCCAGAGACACAGCGGTCTCTAGGGCTCCCTGTCTCCTGAGGGCCTGCGCCTGACCTCTGAACTCCACCAGGCACACAGGGCTGAAGGGGCAGCACGTGGTCTTGGGCAGGGGTGCTCTCTGAGAGGCAGGAGCTGAGTCCTGCTGGGTGCAGGCTTTCTGCTCCCAGCTAACGCTTGAGGCGCCCCCCACCTGGACCAGGGGATATTTTAGGGGCCAGCAGTGACCAACAGGACAGTGTATGGCATGGGGTTCCAGGTCCTGTGTCCCTCATGGAGCAAAGCCACATGGGGCCTGGGTGGGGGGCCTGAGTGCCTCCTCGCCCCGGTGGGCGCTGAGAATCAGACACAATTACTCCCTCGGCAGATCATAATTACAGCAAATAGCTCATTAAGGAGGAATTATCATCAATATGATATTAGCAGACGGCAGGGTAAATGAAGAAAGAAAAGTGCTTATTCTCTCAGCACCCTCTTAATGGGGACAATGGCTGGGAGACCCGGGCACTGCCAGTGACCTGAACCCCCAGGACCCCAGACTTCCCTAGACAAGGTCGCCGTAGGGGACACTGAGTGTCCCAAGTGCTCCCAACGAGAAGATAAGAAGAGGCGCGGCGTGAGCAGGCAGGGGCGCGGGACGCCTGGGATGTCCCGTGCCAGGCTAGCTGAGCATGGCTTCCCCTGCTCAGGCGCCCCTGCCCCTGCGGGGCCCACATGGAGCTCAGGGCTCCTGGCCACACCGAGCGCTGCAAAGGCACTTGGCTCACTCCTGCTCCTTCCTGCTTCCCCACCTCTCTAATACAATGCAATTCATATATTAAAAAAATAAGCTTTTGCAAGGTTGAAGGCACTTGGGAAGTTGCTGCTCACCAGGTTGGAAGCCAAGCTCAGGCCGGGATCCCATGTAGACACCAGTTTGAGTCCCAGCTGCTCTACTTTCTATCCAGCCCCCTACTTGCGGCCTGGGAAAGCAGTGCAGGGCTAAAGCCTTGGGCCCCTGCACTCGCGTGGGAGACCGGAGGAGGCTCCTGGCTCCAGGTCTGCTCAGGTCCAGCATTGCGGCCACTTGGGGAGTGAGCCATCATCACCATTGGACGGAAGATCTTCCTCTCCGTCTCTCCTTCCCTCTGTTAGTTGGCTTTCAAAAAAGCAAAACAAATCAAACATAAAAAAAAAACAAAAACAAAATTTGCTCCCTAAGCGGCGGCAATGGCCAGAGCTGAGCCAACCCGAACCAGCGGCTTCTTTCGGGTCCCTGGGCCCGCGCGGAGCGGCGAGTGGAGGCGGCGGGAACCTCCGGGCACGCCCGGGCCTTGTGCTCCCCAGGCGCCTGGAGGGGTCCGGTCATTCCGCTTCCCACAAAGCTGCTCCGACACCGCCTGGACGCGCGCTTCGCCGCGGGGGAGCTGGGGACCCGCGCTCCTCCAATCCCGCGGGCGCGGCAGGGAGCATGAGCCCGGAGCTGCCCCGCTCCCTCCCGCATGTCCCTCGCCTCTCCCCGAGGGCTGGGGAGGACCTCCGGTGCCAGCCCCCGGGGCGAGAAAGGCCGGCCCGCACAGCGCGCAGAGCTTGCGGCCAGGCGAGCGCCCCGGTGCTCCGCGCGGAGGCCAGCGTTCCTCGACGGCGCAGAACGGGGAGCGGGGCTGAGGGCGCGGGCACGACCCAGCTTGGGGCACCGGTGCGGGGCATCAGGGGCCCCTGCTCGCCGTGTCGGCGAGGCCCCACAGCCAAGGAAGCCGTGCGTGGTGCGCGGGATTCCCGAATGAGACCCGGGAGAGCAGGCGGCGCAGCAGAAACCCCTAGCGCCTCGGGCTCTCCCCGCAGCCCCTCTGAGGATTTGCGAGGCGGGGGAGACCTGGGGTCCGCCACGCCCAGGGAAGGCAGACTTGGAGCCGCAAGCCCCGCACCGCTGCGGTCAGGGTCAGCTCACCACCTGCCTCCACCCGCAACCACGTTGGGGTGGTTCCCCACCCGCAGTCCTCCTCTCCCTTCTCCTCTTCGTGCCCCCCAGCCCGCCCTCCCCTGCGGGTTGCTCTCCCGCTACTCCGATGTGACAGCTCCAGCCCGCAGCTGCTGAGTGGCGCGGCAAGTCACTCGGGGGCTGGTGCAGGGGCCCGGAGCATGCGGGTGTGTGCGCGAGTGCGGGTGTGCGCAGGTGTGAGTGAGTGGATGTCTGCCCGCCGCCCACCTCTCCTCCATCTCCCTCAGACACCTCCTGCCAGCGGGCACCTGCTGTCCCACACACCCTGTCTGAGCTCCTCGACCAGCCCCCACCTGCTTACACCCGAAGCACCCCCATCGCGGCTACCCCCGCTGCCGCCCCTCCCCGCTTCCCCTCGGGGTCCCACCACCCGGCCCTGCAGGGAGAGCACAGGGTTGGGGACTTGGGAGGTGAGACTCCACCGTGGGGGCTGGCCCAGGGAGCCGGGACAGCACCCAGCCGTGAGCTGAGCTGCTGCCTGTGCCGGAAAGGGCCGCTCTGGCCCTGGGCCCGACTGCAGCCTCTCAAACTGCTGACCAGGCACTGAGGGCCTGAGGGCATGGCTGCCAGCAGGATGGCCAGCAGGGAGAGCACTGGGCAGCGGGCAGCCTGGGCCCTGGGGACAGGGCTTCTCCTGGGATAGCCGGGAGCCCAGGGATGCCCCTACCTGCTCCCTGCCCCCCATGCTGGGGACCTTTTGAGAAAGCTTATGGAAAGCTTGTCACCTTGGTGGGGCAAGCAGCTGTTCCACCTGCTGCCACTGGCAGCGGGCAGCAGACACTGGCCCCGCCTGGCTGGCCCAGCCTCAGCGGCCGCTATAAACAGAAGCCAAGGAGAAGAAGGTCTGCCCTGCAGTGTGGGCACAGAGGAGGCAGAAGTCAAGCCCTTTGGCAATGGCCAGGCCAGGCACCTGCAGACCAGGGGCAAGGCCAGAGCTACACTCCCTGGCGGGCTGGGGGAGATCCCTGTCCCCAGAGGCCCGGGCAGGGCGAGTTGGGGTCCTGGGCTGGGAGTCCTCTCCGCACCCTCTCACACCCTGGCCGGGGCGCAGGTGTGAAGTGAGGGAGACCAGCACTGGCTTCTGGGGGCGTCCAGGCTCAGTACAGGTGGGTCCTGCAGACCTGCCACAGCTCCCCTCAGGTCCCCACGCACACGTGTGTAATACAGTGTGTGTGTTGCACGGACAGCAGACACGTGCAGAGCACGCAGTGAGCTGGCTGTGCAGCCCTGTGCTCCAGAGCACTCCCACGGGAGCACCAGCTCTCACGGTGCTACAGCCCCGTCTCACCTCTGTCACCAGGAGGCGTGTGTGGGGAGAGCAGCGGGCAGAGTCCCAGGGAGGGAGCAGGGAGTCAGGGCACTGGAAAGTGGAGCTGGATCCAGCCTGGGGTGCAGCGCCTGCCCCTGCCCCCTTCCCAGAGCAGTGCCAACTCCCCTGCCCCCCGCCCCCCTCTCCCGCGTGATCTAGAACTCCCGGAAAGCAGTCAGCCTAACGGGACGGGTTATTTCATTGGAACCTTCCAGAAATTGGTGGAAAAGGGCCCTGGCTCCCTCTTCTAACAATGCGGGTCCAACTCAACCCTGCCCAGCTCCTCACCCCAGCACTCCCCTGTCCAGCTGGGCAGACCTGGGGCCTGGCAAGCTGGTGCAGGGGACAGGGTGAGCAGCCCAGGTCCTGGGCCAGGCTGCACACTCTGCCTGGGAGCTCCCTGCCCCTCAGCCGCCCAGGGCTCCTCCTGCCGCAGCACACAGAGGTCAGGCCAGGGGTTCCACCAGGCCAAGGGCCCCGGGCCGAAGGGAACAGCTGCACACGGCGCCAGGCTCCAGGAACTTGCAGATCCAGACGGATTTATTGAGTAGGTTGTTACCTTTCGTTTCCTCGATGTGGTGGCAAATGAAAAAACCGACGGAACCCACGGGGCAGTGACCCAGGGCTGGCACACGGACCCTACAGGGCCGAACCCCGGCCTCTCTTGGGCGCACAGGGGCCCCAAGGCAGCCGAGAGCCAGAAAAGCAATTCCACAAAACAAAACCGCGACTTATATCCATAAAAAAAAAAGTTTCCACCCCTTCCCCATGCCAGGAGACCCAGGCTGAAGTCTCCTCTTGAGACACTGTTCCCACGAAAACTCTGGCCCGGCCTGTGCCTCCTTCGGTTCAGTCCTGACGCCTGCCCGGACCAGTCAGTGCGCAGCAGAACGGCGGCGCGGGTGGCAGGGGACCCCCACTTCTCCAGGGAACGCCGGGCGGGATGGAGTCGGGGCTGGGGACGGGCGGGCAAGCGACACATGCAGGGCCGGCGGGCAACGGAAGGCGAGGGGATCCAGCCTCCAGGCACAGGAGTATGAAGACGTCAAAGAGGAGCGGCGGGGCAAGGGGTCGGGGCGGGGGCGGCGCTCGGGGGTCTCGACGGCGGCACGCGGGCCCCGGGCGACCTCCTCCGCGCGAGCGCCGTCCAACCGGCTGGGGAAGCGCGCGGGGCACGGGGCGCGGCGACTCGCCAAGGCTGGGGAAGCGCGCGGGACGCGGGGCGCGGGACGCGGGGCGCGGGGCGCGGGCCGGGGAAGCGCGAGTGCAGACGACCCGCCGCCTCGGCCCGGCCCGTCCGAGCGCGAACCCCGGCGGCGGCGCGGGCTCGGGACGGGGCGCCAGGCGCTCACAGGAAGAAGTCGGGCGCGCCTTTGGCCCCGCCGGGGCCGGCCTGCGATGGCGAGGACTCCCGAGCGAAGCCGGTCCCGCCCGCGCCCCCGGGGGCGCCCCGGCCGGCCAGCTTCTCGAACTTCTCCCGGTACAGGTCCCGCTCCTTGGCCAGGCGCCCCACCTCCAGCTTGAGCTGCTCCACCTGCGTCTGGAGCTGACACTTCTCGCTCTCCAGCATGTGCCGCTGCTGCACGCGCTTGAAGCGGCACGACTGGGCGTAGCCGCGGTTCTTGAGCGTGCGCCGCTTCTGCTTCAGCCGGATCACCTCCTCCTTGCTGAAGCCGCGCAGCTGCCGGTTCAGCTCGCGCACCGACATGGACACCAGCTGGTCGTCGGAGAAGCGCTCCTCCAGGCGCACGTGGTGTCCCGCGCCGCCGTGCCCGTGGTGATGGTGGTGGTGGTGGTGGTGGTGGGCTGCGTGGTGGTGGTGCGTGCCGTGAGGGTGGCCGGCGCCCATGTCGTCCGCACCGCCGCCCGCGAAGCCCTGGCCGCGGAAGGCCTCGTACGCCGCCGGGTGGTGCGCGCTGGGGTGCCCGCTGCCGAGCAGCGCCTCCACCGCGTCCTCGGGCGTCAGGTTGAGCGCCTCGGGGTTCAGGTGGTGCTGGTAGCCGCTCATCCAGTACAGATCCTCCAGCGCCGGCTTCCCGGGGGGCCCCCCGACGGCACTGGGGCCCGCGCTCGGCGGCCCGGGGGCGACCCCGGACGCAGCGGCCGCGCCGCCGCCCCCCGCGCCCGGGCTGGGCGCGCAGAAGCTGGGCGAGGACGGCACGGACGAGCAGGGCGTGCTGAGCGGCGTCGAGGACAGCGAGCCGGGCGGCCGGTGGCACAGGCGCTCGGCCTCGGGCGGCTCCTTCTTCACCTCGAACTTCATCAGGTCGAAGTCGTTGACGTACTCGATGGCCAGCGGGCTGCCGGGCAGCTCGGCGCCCATCGCCAGCTCCGCGGCCATCGCCCGGGGACGCCCCCTCCCGGCGCCCGCACGGCCGACGCGCAGCGCCCGGGGCTCCCGCCGGCCGTGCGGGCGCGTGCGGTGCGGCTCCCGCGCCCCTCCCCGCGCCGGCCCCGCCTCCGCGGCCGCCGCGCCGCTCGCCGTTTATAGAGCCGCGCGGCGGGCCCGCCTCCCCGGGCGGGGCGTGCGCCCCGGGCCAATCGCGGCCCCGGCCCCGCCGCCCTCGTGTGCCCGTCCCCATGGCAACCCGCACCAGCTGCCAATCTCCGGCGGGGCGGGCGGGGCCCCCTGGCGGCCGCCCGTCGGAGTGCAGGGCGCCGGCGCGGGGACACCTGGCCGGGCGCACCTGGCCGGGCGCGGGCCCCGAGCTGCCCACGCCCTCCGGGGCCTCGTGCCCGCGACCCTCCTCGCGGCCGCAGAGGCCATGGGGGCGAGGGAGGCGCCAAGGGTCTCCCGGCCCCTCCGTCTCGCGGACCCCGTCCTGGGCTGCGAGAACAGGCCCACGCCCTGGGCCCCAGTCCCGGCCCGCCCGGGCGCTGTGCCCTCCGGGGCATCCCGACAGCCGCGCCACCCGGCCGGCTATTTTTAGTCTCGCGGTTCGGGAATTTTGTCAACAAAGTTGCTGGCACCTTGGTGCGACAGGCCGGCGGGCGGTGGGGGGCGCAGAGCAGAGGGTGCGCAGGCGGGGAGAGGGCGAGGGGCCAGGGTGGGGCGTGGTGCAGAGGGGCGTCGGCCCGGGACACGGTAGGCATCTCTGCGGCTGCTACCGCCGCGGAACGGGGGTGAGTGGGGGAAGCAGCCCACGGAGCAGAGGCGACGGGCGGCGTGCCCGGAACCGACCCGGTCCTACGGCGCACACGCGAGCGACAGCTCTTTGCCACAATTTCTTGCTTCGCTGCGCCTTGGACAGTGTAGCAAGTTAGGTTCGGGTGTCACTTCTCACAGCCCCAAGCTGGCACGGAGGACACCCCATGCAGCGCTTCTCAGCTCTCAGCAGCTCTGAGGTCTGACCTGGGCCCAGCACGGACGCCAGGCAGAGGCCGCCTGTGCAGCAGCTGCCCCACCCGCAGGGCGCTGGGCTGGGCCTCTAGAGCAGCTGCTCCTGGACCCTGGCCTGGGGTGTCAGGAAGGCACTCGGTCCCACTGGGAAGGAACCGCCCTTTGAGGCCCTCCCAGAGCTGGCCTGGGAGCGGAGCCGGGGGCGGGGGGGCGCACGGTTGGGGCGCTGAGGACACCCTGGGGCCCACAGCCCCGTGAGCACCTGCTGTGAGCCAGGCCGCTCCGCCTCCTTCCAGTGGGGGGAAGGGCAGCAGCACTGGGTCAGGACACACTGGCCAGGGGTAAGGAATGTGACAGAGGCCTTCCTGTAGCCTCGCCGGGACACCCAACAGGACGGTGCCCCCTTGCTAGGCCCCTCCGGTTGTGGGGGAATTTCAGGACCATGACCTGGTGCTGCCTTCAGCTGTGGGTCCCCCCCAACTCCCTCCCACCCTCTGAGAAGGTGCAGGGTTGGCCAGGGTGAGTGGTCTGGCACGTGAGTCAGGGCCCAGCTGGTTCCACAGCCCTTCCACCCCTTCCCAGCCAGGAACCCCTCCAGGCAAGAGGGCCACATTTCCCACCCTCTACCTGAAGGATTCCAAGCCCCTGGCCTGCCCACGTGGATCGCAGACCTCAGCCGTCACCTTGATGGGCCATCCTCCGGCCAGGCGCCTGAGCGGCCCAGGAGGAGGGCCTGGCATGGCCCAGGGCCGCGGGCACATCATGCCTGCAGCTCGAGGGCCTGTGTGAGCCCCGAGGGTCCGGCTGGGTCCCAGGGAGAGTAGGGGCAGGGGCTGGCCAGCCTCCACACAGGCTCATCTGCTGCCCAGGGCAGGGGGCACTGGCAGCCTGGAGGAGCTGCAGGTGAGCCCTGGGGAATGGCGAGAGGGCTGGCCAGGGCCAGGCACCTCAGTCCTGGGAGGACCAGGCCTGGCCTCTCCTGCATAGCTGATTTGTGCCCACTCTCTGCCATGTGCCAGAGGGTAAAGCTGCCCCAGACGTGCGCCTTGGAGCTGTCCAGGAGCGCAGCATGGATGCGGGAGGGTCGGTCGGAGGACCACGTGTACCCCCCACTCCTGGTCTCCCTACGCCTGTGCCCCAGCACCTCATAGCCCTGTGCTGGCAGCTCCATTCCTGAGGCTGGTCAGCAGAAGCCAGCTGGCCCGGCTCTGCTCCAACAGACTCCATCAGCTCCCAACTCCAGATGGCACTTGTTCCGGGGCAGTGTCACACCCTCAGCCCTCGGGGCCCTTGGTGGACAGCGGCCTGGGCAGCCATGGCCCCGGGGGCACAGGCCTGCGCCCAGGTGCTGTGAAGAGTGGCTCACGACGGTTCCAGGGCCGCATGGCATTCTGCAGGGCCGAGGGGGGCAGCCCAAGTGACTGGGGCCTCTCTAGCCCCTGCCTGCCTCCACTTCCCAGTGACTAAGTGAGCCCAGCCGGGCCCTTCCTGCCTCCCCCTCCTCAGCCCCTGGGAACCCAGTGGCAGCCAGCACGGGCAACCTGACACAGGGTAGAGTCTTTATTGCTGGATCCAGGATGCCCGCCTGGGAGCTGTCCACAGTGCAGGCTGAGGGAGTGGGGCAATGGGCAGGGCTGCGGCCCAGGGCCGCCTTGCTGCCAGGTGCAGGGTGCAAGGTGAGGTAGCATGGCCGCCGCGGCCTCACAGGCGTGGCTTGATGTGAAGAGTCTGCCCTGTGGAGAGAGGACAGTGTCAGGTGGCATCCAGCCAGACTCCGGGCTTAGTTTGGGCCAGCGGTGCACCTGCCCCCCAGTGGCCACACTGCAGGCCTGGCCTAGGGCTGTGAAGTACAGGGGCCAGCAGCCACTGGGCTATGTGCGGTGATCAGCCCCGAACAGCAGGAGTGCTCACGGATGGGACCAGGCCGGGAATGTGGGGCAACCCGTGCTGCCCCCGTGCAATGAGGTTTTGGGGTCTCGGGCCTCACTCGCCCTAAGTGCTGGCCAGGAAAAACCTTCCTGGGTGCTACCCAGGCACCCTGTCAGTTGCGCCCAACTGGGGTCAGCTTGGGTCCTCCGCCCTGGCTGTGGTGGACATGGGGAGCTGGGGGGCTGTTGGGGGCTGTGGCAAGCACCTCCATTAGCGTGACCACCGGGAAATGTGCCATAAAACGCTGCTGTATGGCCGTGCGTCTGTGGCCTGTGGGGTTGCGTGGGGTTTATCACCCCGCGTGCTGGCTGTAAAACACTTACTGAGGGGCCTCGTGCGGCTGTAAAACCCTCCTTTCGCCCTAAACAAGGCTGAGTGGAGCCATTCACTGAGCCCCAAATGTGCATCCGGGGAGCGGGAACATCTGCTCTCCACAGCGGCGCCTGCTCATCTTCCAGAACAAATTAACACAAATAGCCGCCCCTAATTCAATCAGCCTGGCTGCCCAGACTGTGCTGCCCCACATCTGGGCACCTCTGCCTACCTGAGTTCCTGGAGCTGGAACTCCTGGCGGTGCGGGCCCGGGGCTGGCCCCCTGGGCTGGGCGAGGACCGCAGGGAGATGAAGGCAGGCAGCCTGCAGAGGCCCCCTGAGCTCGAGGTGGCCGGGGTAGCCCCCTCCAGGCGGCGTGGCTCCTCCTGCTCCAAGGCGTGGGACGAGGAGGACGGAGATGAGGCGGGGGAGGAGGAGGAGGAGGAAGCCCTGAGTGAGAAAGTGGAGGGAAGCGGGGAGGCTGGCTTCCCGGGGCTTGGCGGTGGGGAGGTGGGGGCCAGGGCTGTGGGAGAGGCGGGCATAGGTGTGGGCTTGGACTGGGCTACGGCTGCAGGATTCCTGTGGGAAAGCAAAAGGTGGAGTGAGAGCAGGTGCCAGTGGCCATCTCTGGGCACCACCCTCACCATGGGTCCCATGGGCAGCAGCCAGGCCCCCTCGCCCCTCACACGGGTGCCCACCCCTCTCCAGGGCCCAGGAGGCCTGGCCCCTGTCACGCCCCATCACCTGGGCCCAGGGCTGGCCGCGGGCTTGCTCTCGGAGGTAGCTTCGCTGGGCCCTGGGGTTGGGGGTGTGGCCCGCCGGCCGTGGCGCTTCCGGGCACGGTGCAGCAGCTGGCACTGGGCACCACGGGGGCAAGCACCCCTGCGGGCAAAGTCGGGGCACAGCAACGTGTGTTTCCTCTTGCACTGGGGAGAGGGGCGTGGCTCAGCAGCTGGCTGGAAGTGCAGCGCAGCCTGGCGAGCAGGGGGCAGTGCCCGCCCCTAATCTGCTCAGCCTCCTATGCTGGGGAAGACGGGTAGGGCCTGAGGCTCAGGGTGGCACAGGTCAGCCAAGGCCAGACAGTGCTGGGTCAGAGCCGGGCACTCGATCCCCAGCACCTGTCATGTGGTTAATTATACCTCTTGGCCAGGGGCAGCCAGCAGGTGCTCCGAGCAAAGCCTGCAGGGAGGCCCCAGTGCCTGGTCCAGGCAGGCAGCCCTGTGGAGCCCATGCCAGGACAGGGGTACCCCTTCTCCTTCAGTCTCCTCTGAAGGCTCCCAGGGAACAGCAGGAGTCTGGATGGCCTAGGGTCTCCGACCTGCACCTCATAGCAGACACCCCCACAGGCACCCCAGGAGCGGCCCTGGGCCCTCCATCTGCGCAGACAGGCCCTGTAACCACGCTGCTTCAGTGCGAGGCCCGAGCAGGCAGGGACAGCGGCCGTGTGCAGCAGGCACCACAGGGTGAGGGTGGGCTGTGGGCAAGCCCTGGCTCTCTACTGTGCCCCACCCTCTCGGTGGCCAGCCAGTCTCCTCCTGGCTGAGGCAGGAGGCGCTCTTCAGCACTGGGCCTGGCACACCCCCTGCAGGCCCTGTGGCAGGCAGTAGGTTGGCCCAGAGAGGCACGGGGTGATGCCCAGGGCACTAGAGAAGCTCCCAGTGTGTGGTGTGTGTCTGGGCTGGCTCTCCCCAGACAGAACCCTCGGTTCAACAAAAAGCCTTCTGTGCCAGAGGGCACCCTGGGCAGGCTCAGGCCATCAG